ACTTTTTCCTCTGACAGCGGCTTCGGCTTCAGAGTTAGAAACATTATGCAATTTAATGCTTTGCCTTCGATTTCTTATGCTTGAAATCGGGCTTGGAGCTTGGTGCTGGATTTTGAGGTTTGGATTGGAAACATGAGTGAAAGTTTTACTTTCTCCTCTGACAGCGGCTTCGGGCTCGGGATTGGAAACATTGTGGAATATGTTTGTTATAGCTTCAGGTTTTACATAGATGGCTTGTACTGGAGCGCTGCTCCGGGCGTTGGAACTTGGATTCGAAAGATAGTCGAAATCTGAAGTTCGCTCGTTCAGATTATACGACACTACGTCAAATCGTTTCTCCGCGTTTTGTCTTATTGTCTGTGTAGCGTTTGTGTATTGTAAGTCTCGTAATATGTCAGTGCCTTGAAATCGAAAAACACTTGTTTGGTTGGTGTTCCATCTAATCCCATAATCAGATCACTAATAGTTTCCGAAAACCTCTACTATTGGTATTTAGCATGTATTTGGTATTTAAGAAATTCTAATTTATATTGGCACTACTGGTTTTTCCTCACTTCCGTCTTGTGTCTGTCGTTTGTGTCCTTTTTTACAGCGTGTCATGGTGGAGTAAAAGGTGCGTGAAGTTTATTGTAATTTTAGGAATATATAAATTAAGGTATTTTCGGCCGTTTTGGTAATTCATTGTAATTTTAATAATCCTGCTCTAAAATTATGATTCCATTTTAGAATATTTGATATTGTACGAGTTTTATTTACACGCAACATCATTGACCACATGGTTTTACATATATTTTTAACATTCTTGTTTTCGTGTTAAAAATTTACTCGTTTTTAATTGAATTTTTACTACGTTCTGTAGACATTTTTAAGTGTTAGTGAAGCCTCTATGAATATGACTATTTCAGTCAAAGGTTAAGTTTGATACATTCAGGTAAGTAAATTTTGTGGCTATATTTTACGTACTATAGTCATATTCAAAGAGTCCTATCACAGAGTTGAATATGATTATAATCACGTTTTTTAAGCGAATTGTATTTTCATTGTTTCAGCTATCAAAATGCCACAAAACGAATATATTGAACGTCATCGTAAATTGTACGGTCGAAGGCTTGATTATGAAGAACGTAAGAGAAAGAAAGAGGCACGTGAGCCACATAAAAGAGCTCAAATTGCTAAAAGCCTCCGTGGTATTAAAGCTAAAATATTTAATAAAGAACGAAGAAATGAAAAAATACAGATGAAAAAGAAAATTAAGGCACATGAAGAAAAGAACATTAAGAAAACTACAGAAAAAGTTCCTGAAGGAGCTTTGCCAGTGTATTTGTTGGATCGTGATGTTCAATCTAGAGCAAAAGTTTTATCAAACATGATAAAACAAAAACGTAAAGAGAAAGCTGGTAAATGGGACGTACCTATCCCTAAAGTTAGAGCACAAGCTGATTCAGAAGTACTGAGAGTGGTCAAATCAGGTAAAACTAAAAGAAAAGCATGGAAGAGAATGGTGACAAAAGTTACATTTGTTGGAGAAGGATTTACTAGAAAACCACCAAAGTTTGAAAGGTTTATTAGACCTATGGCATTGAGGTTTAAAAAGGCTCATGTAACACATCCAGAGTTGAAAGCTACTTTTTATCTGCCTATAATAGGTGTCAAAAAAAATCCAAGTTCGCCAATGTTTACAAGTTTAGGTGTTATTACTAAGGGTACTGTTATTGAAGTTAATATTTCTGAATTAGGTCTAGTTACGCAAGCTGGTAAAGTTGTGTGGGGGAAATATGCACAAGTGACAAATAACCCAGAAAACGATGGATGTATAAATGCTGTTCTTTTAGTTTAAAATAAATTGTGTCTTGTATTATGATGCATTGTATTTATATGTTGAAGTAAATATTCTCTTCTACCAGTTTTTTTGTTTTCCATTTACCTCGAAAGTCTACATATCCTTGCCACATATTAATACACATATGTACTTTTAAATATTATTCATGCCCATATAAAAAATATGTATATTGTGGTGGATTTTTTGTTTCAAAACATTGAAATATTTTTTTTTTAGTTTCAGAAATATTCTGTAAATTGAATAACTAACAGCATTCTGTAAATTGGATATCTAAAAATGTTTCCAAGCGTTTTTTTTATTTATATCGAGTTAAGCACACCTAAAATTTGACTTTAAAAAACTGTATTGTCATTTTATTTCATTTCACTTTTGAAATGAATTTCTTTCAAGCATGTGTCTAAAAACAAAACATTTTTAAGTACACATGCATAAATGATTCATTATACAGGGTGATTCACATACGGTGACCAAAAATGAAACCTCGTAGTCTGGTGAATTTTAAGGGGTGTTTCGTTTTTATTTAGGACACTTCGTTAAAAAGATACAGGGTATTAAACTTAAAAATGTATTTTAAATTTTTTTAAATAATTTAAAAATAGTGACTGAAATCATTTGAATTGGGCACATGTATTTATGTAAGCATTTTCCAAAATCTGAGGACTTCTAAAATTTAGATGCTTTACTGGCGGAGATACAGGGTATCGGTGGCATATTTTTCTAAATAAAATAGTACGCCAGTGCTTTACAGTAACAATCATATGATATTTTGGGTTCGTCTTTAGATTTTCTATAAACTTAAAAAACCAACTAACTGAAAACGCCAGACCTCAACCCACAACCCACTGGATTTCTCCACTTGACAGCTACACACAGGGCTTCCAGAAAGGTCTTTTAAATTACTTTGTCATCTTTTTTTTAAAGAAAATCACTGAAGTTCCTTTTTGCAAAATAGATAGAAAATCATCTTTAAATGTAGATAAAGAGCCGTTTTCTTATGGAATATCAAAAAATTTTATTAGAAAAAGTTTTTGACAATTAAACTTATGTGCTTGTGTCAAATTTGGTGGCAGTCGATCATGATTTTACAATTCAGTGACGGTCAAATAAAAATACATCAAAGCTGATGGATTGTGCAGAAATTCGTTATACAGGGTGTGTTATACGATCTACGAAAAAAAAGTTAAATAAGAACCTTTTGGTTTTTGAGTTATAGGCCTTCAAAGTTGTCAAAAATAAAACTAATTTAATTAATAACTTCATAACCCTTTTACCAATCGCGTAAAATTTGGTACATTTATTTGGACTATTATTGCATATTATTTCTTAAAGTTTTAGTCAAATCGATATCCGGTTACCTCTCCCTCTTAACGGTCAAAACTTTTTCAACATTGAAATGGTCGTTTTATTTAAAAAAAATAAGTGTCCCTTGCGAAAATTGCCTAGAGAAAGCCATTCTTGAGAAAAATGGCATTATTTGCAGGTCTGTATGTTTCAATTTGTATAGCGGTGTCACGGATTTAAAACTTTGAGTTCAGTAGGCGATGAAAACAAGTCGTCGATTGCTGTGGCTATCAGGGAATGTCATTATTGTCTTGTTTCTTTAGGATTCTCATCACTCTACACATGCAAATTATGAAGTGTCCGCAGAGTATCAAGACAATTAAACAGAGTTGTAAATTTTCATAATTTGCATGTGTGGAATAATGAGAATACTAAAGAAACACGAGAATAATCACATTACCTGATAGCCACAACAATCAAAATCTTGTTTTCGTCTCCTACTGAACTCAAAGTTTTAAACCGAAACGTACACACATGCAAATGCCATTTTTCTCAAGAATGGCTTTCTGTAGGCGATTTTCTCAAGAGACAATATTTTTTTTAAACCTTCTCAATGTTGCCGCCCACTTTAAAAAAATACGACCACTGTAAAAGTTTTGACCGCTAAAAGGGAGAGGTAACCAGAGAAAACTATCACCCAGTATATCGATTTGACTAAGGCTTTAAGAAATAATATGCAATAATGGTCCAAATAAATGTACCAAATTTTAAGGCGATCGGTAAAAGGGTTATGAAGTTATTAATTAATATAAATATCTATAAATTTAATTGTCAGAAACTTCTAATAAAATTTTTTGATATCGTACGAAAACAGTACTTTACCTATACAGAAATTTTTATTTTTTTTTTTCAATTATACCAGCACTTTTTATTTATTTATTGTAAATAATTTTAAGGCGATCGGTAAAAGGGTTATGAAGTTATTAATTAATATAAATAACTATAAATTTAATTGTCAGAAACTTCTAATAAAAATTTTTGATATCGTACGAAAACAGTACTTTACCTATACAGAAATTTGTATTATTTTTTTTCAATTATACCAGCACTTTTTATTTATTTATTGTAAATAATTACAATAAAATCAAAACACCAGTTAATGAAATATTTATTAAAAAAAAAATGTTTTAATTTCAATTCAGAAATTTTTTCAACCTCAACTTGTCTTGATTAATACCTAAATAGTTCTGTTTTGTAATTTGCTGCAAGATTACCTACATAAATGAACTCTTGCAGATAATTTAATAAATATTGTACTAAATTTTGTTAGAAAGAAATAAAAATATCTCGTATGTGATTATCATTATTAGGTATTTAAAAAACTGTTAATTTTACTTTTAATATTATTTGTATCTACTTATTTACTTAGAATATACATTTTTTGCAGTTAACTCCGCAACATGCAGATTTTTGTAAAAACTTTGACAGGTAAGACCATCACCCTTGAGGTTGAACCGTCAGATACCATCGAGAATGTCAAAGCAAAGATCCAAGACAAAGAAGGTATCCCCCCTGATCAGCAACGTCTAATTTTCGCTGGGAAACAGTTAGAAGATGGACGTACCTTATCCGACTATAACATTCAGAAGGAATCAACGCTTCATCTCGTGTTGAGACTCCGTGGTGGCGCTAAGAAACGTAAGAAGAAGAATTACTCTACACCCAAAAAAATCAAGCATAAGAAAAAGAAGGTTAAGCTAGCTGTATTGAAATTTTACAAAGTAAGTAACTTGGAACAGTTCGTGCAAAGTTTTAGTACTAATTTTTCTTCAATTTTTAGAACTGCTTATTAGCAATTAAGTAATATATGATTATTCCATAATACACAGTGTAGGAAAGTACCGATGGTCTATCAGAAGTTACGTGAGAGCGATAAAGTAAGCCATAGAAATCCATGTGATAGACAAGGATGGTTATAATGAAGGCGTCTAATAGTCAACGCCCATTTCGCCTTTACGCAAATAAGAAGTGGATCTTATTTGTGGAAGGGCGAAACGGGCGGTGACTATGAGAGGCCTTCATTATAGCCATCCATCTCTATCGCGTGGATTTCTATGGCTTACTTTATCGCTCTCACGTAACTTCAGATAGACCATTGGTACTTTCCTACCCTGTATAGTATTGAATAAATCGGATATTTTTTGTCATGGGAATTTAGAGCCGTGATTTCTTTTCAGGTTGATGAAAATGGTAAAATCCATAGATTGAGACGTGAATGTCCTGCAGAACAGTGTGGCGCTGGTGTCTTTATGGCAGCCATGGAGGACCGCCATTACTGCGGTAAATGCGGTTATACATTGGTTTTCTCCAAACCAGAAGATAAGTAATGCGACATTATATTATTAAGAAATAATTCTTATTAAAAAAACACAGCCTTGTCTTATTTTTATGCAATAAAATATTTCAAGGAAATAGTGAATTTTATTTAATTTTTTCTTGCACCTTCATATTAGATGGTGATTTGAAAGATTATTAGATAAGTCACAACTATATCGGTATAAGTGTTTTAAGTGTTTTCTCAATTAATAAGTATCTACAGGGTGTTACAAAAAATAAGTTGTCGATTTTGATTCTCTTGGAAAAAATAATGGAATATAAAGAAGTTTCAATGTCAAATCAAGCTCTACTTATAAAAACTCTTCAAGAATTAAAAAAAAATAAATAAAGACTTGAACATAGGAAAAAATTGAGATGGTTAACTGCCTAACACAATCCATTTGCTTCTACCCCTATTTCTTCCTTTTTTCACCAAAGTTCCTACTAGATTTGCCCAAATAATCTGGTTAACAATTTAACTTAAATTTTTATAACGTCCTATTATAAAAACCACGAAACAATTTCCATTTCATTTGTAACTTTACTCACGGAGTAAATTACGGAATAATATAAACCGGTCAAAGTAGTTCAAAAATACGGGTAAGCTTACAATAATTCGCATCAAGCTGAAAATTGGTACGGATGTTGGGAACACCATTATAAATGAAATGTGAAAAGTCCCCATTGATCCCACATCTGCAAAAAAATTATTCAAGGTCAAAGTTTGCAAATATGGGTTTTTGCATTTTTCAGCCAAACGGTAAGTTTTATCATAAAAATAGGTCAGACAAAAGTTGTAGATTATGCACTAATCTATAAAAATTGTTCTTACACAAGTTGAAAAAATTGCGTTATATTTTCATATTTTAAATCTTTTGGTCACCCGGTACGAGAAATGTTAAGTTTCACCAAGGCCACCTCATTTTAAATTCAAGCAAAACTTTTTATCAACTGTACAGGGTGGTTCACTATATTTTGACCCCCACATAAACTTTTTTGTTTTTAGAGTTGTAAAAAATGTGAAATACAAAAGTTGCACGATTTTTTATGAAATTTTTGAAAATGGTAGTAGAAAAACAAAAGAAGTCCAAACAAAATGGCCGCGGATGTTAACTTTGTTAATTTAAACGGAACACCCTGTATATTTTTACATATTTGGATATAACGTTCCCTGTCGAGCAGACAGGGTTTATTGGGTCCATCTCAAATAATAAGCGAGATACTATTAAAAAAGGAAAAAGTTTTTTTATTAAGAAAATAAGATATCTTGTATTTGTTAGACCACTTTCAGACATTACTGCCATTTTTCCAATTACGTAAGGATTTACAGATTAGTTGTAATATGTTTATTTTGACATGTATCGGACATTGATATGGTCCAACATGAGTATAGGCATTTTTACTAATTTAATCTCACTAATTAGGTCGTGAGTAGTGCTGGCAACTGAAACCGGTTTTTTGGATAGTCGGTTAACCGGTTTCGGATAATTCGGATTTTTATGAAATCCGAAAACCGGTTATTCGATTCTTCGATTCTTCGAATATCGGTTATTCGGTTATTCGAATCTTCAAATATCCGATTATTCAAATAACCGATTATTCAATAATCTACTTCCCTTTTTTTTAGACATCGATTTGTCCGATTGTAATTGACCTTAGACAATTTCTCCGGGTCTGTCTTTGTAAAGCACCGATTTTCAGGTATCCTGTTTTGGCCATTCAAGTAACGGGTTATTCGAATAACCGGTTTTAGCAACTATTCGACTAACCGGTTTTATCTGAAATCGGTTTTTACGGAACCCGGTTAACCGGTTTCACTTTTTTCCGGTTTTTGCCAGCACTAGTCGTGAGGCCTCATGGACAATGTTATATGGTAGAACCAGAACCATAAGAGTAATGGATGAATAAAAGAACACGGCCAATCTTTGTGAATGACAGACGTAATGAATAAACTGTCAAATAAACTTTGTACAATAATTCGATTCAACAAAACTTCGCATTAGTGTCCTCTCTAAGATTTGTCTGAAAGATTTTTCTTAACGATTTATCTGACGATTATTTGGTACAATTTATCGCTCCAATAATAAGTCTGCGTGTGTATTCAGCTATTAGAACAAATTATTGATGGTGCATTACTAATGCATAGTTCAGTCGAAGCACATATAATTGTGAACAATTAAAATGGTTGCTAAAATGTCTAATGTCACGGACGTCCACAAAAAGAAAATAGAAGAGAGCTGATTGAGAGGTTAGGCATCCGTACCTATTCTTATTACGAATGTTAACAATAATTAAAATGAAATATAATTAAAATGAATAATTATTGTAATTCAGCTTTAGTTAACTAAAAATAAATTATTGGGACTTGCAAAATTATTTATAAGATTGAATTTTTAGGTTAATCATAAGTATTGAGAAAATAAATAATTTATTGCTTTGAAGCAAAACATGAGATTTTTTATTATATGTGTATATATTGATGTATTACTTATTGTTAATATGAAAAAAAATGTTTCATGCTTTAGATAATTAATTAAAAGCGAACACGTGTTTTCGTGTTTACAAAAAACTGTACGAAAAAGTTGGCAGATATTGACGCGGGGCATTAAAAAAATTTGATGAAAAGGCCTATTAGGCCTCTCTTGGCCGCTCTCTCGTTTATTATTATTACAGATTGACCCAACAAACCCTATATGTCTATGCTCGACAGGGAACGTTCTATCCAAATATGTAAAAATATACAGGGTATTCCATTTTAAATTAAAAAAGTTAACATCCGCCGTCATTTTGTTTGGACTTCATTTGTTTTTCTACAATCATTTTCGAAAAATTCATAAAAACTCGTGCAACTTTTGTCATTCAAATTTTTTAATAACAAAAAAGCTAAAGGGGGGTCAAAATGTAGTGAATTACCCTGTACCTTTTTTCCGTAAAATGTAAAATAAAAAAGTTTTTCCTCTTATTCACCCTAACCGTGGACATACTGTAGTTATTAATCTCATTTGCTACTTACCTACTTTTTATGGCTGATTAAAAAGCACTCCTTTAAACAAAAATATCCTAAACGTGTTACTGTGTACTCTGTCATAAACTGGTTTTTGCGATTATTTCGTTCACTTACAAGAAATTTTGTAATAAAAAAATCGTCATTTTCTGACGGATGTATGTACGGTAACTTTATTATCAATAATGTAAACTTTTATTGCCCATGTGCGGGCTTTATAGTCATCCTTATAATAGGTACCATCCCTATAACTTATACATATTTACAAAAATTTAAGTTTCAAATGCAAATCCTCTTCTCGTTTCACTTGAAGTTTGAAGTCCATTTTATTGTCTTTGCGATTGGGTGTCTTAAGTGGGGAAATTATTATTTTAAAACAGCTAGACTAAACATGTAATGTAACTTAACTGCACAACTGAGTTTTTCAATAACAAAATATCGTAGTGGCGGCCTAGAATATTTTTTGACAAAAATAATATGCTAATGTTACAAGTTGAGTATATACTTTAGATATACCTAATCAGTACAAGGAGTAGGCGCGACTCGATATTCACTATTGGAAATTCATGCTATTCTTTCTAGTATAGTATTAATTGGGACTTCACCGGACAATCATTTCTTTTATTAAGAACCTTTTCCCGTTTCGGCTTAGGGGCCCATAAAAATCAAAGCCCGGCACTGGATTTATTCCAAATAATAGCGGTGGCACCAATAAAATACGTTATTTTTATCTTGAACGTTGGAGATGCAAATATAAATACTGAAGTTACATCATTAAAAATATATATACTAATACATTACCGAAAAATACATGAAAAGCATAGTATATTTCTGTAAACTGTTGTTGTGTTTGTGTATTTAGAATCTAAAAATAATCACGAATTTGTCGTAGTTATTACGTTTGCAAGCACTAGGCAACAACTACACAAATTAGACAATTGTTACATATGTACTTCTGTAAGAATTATAACACACAGAGAGACGCTAACCAAGGTTATAAATAATAATACCAAGGTACTTCACACAAACTTAGTGACCTATCAACACAACAAATCAAGTGACCGAGGTTTTAATATATAAATATCAGCCGCAATGAGTAACCCTTTCAGTAAGTTCATACGGCAGTTCAATCGCACAGAGATGAATCTCAAATTCATCTGCTTGACCGGCGGGTTAACTATATTGCTCATAACAGCAGTAAAATGCTGGTACTCGTATAAGTGCAAGGAACTCAAATTTTGTGATAAACTTCGCAACAGGGCACCATCAAATTACACGCTGAAAGTTTCAAGCAAATTAAATTGTTCGTTAATTGGAAAATTGGTAAATAGAGACACCGACAAGCATTTTGATTTCTTCCTTACAGCATTAGCAGGAGGAAAGTTTAGCATTTACATAAACGATCCTATAAACTTGAGATATCAAGTCAATGACTCTTTACCTGAAATGCCTCTGGAAACCGATATGACAGTAAACGTTAATATGCTAGATGTCGGTGAATTGGTTATCATAGAGTTCGAAGATATCAAAATCTATCTTTCTACTGATCCTTTCAATTTAACGGTGTATCGTGAGGGCCAAGAAATCGTTAAAATAAATCCACGGCAATTGTTAACTTTCGAAGAAGATCCCGAAGCACCAGTAGCGCTCGACTTTAATTTTCCGCAAGCACTGCGGGCTTATGGATTACCGGAACATGCTGAAAGACTGGCATTAAGAACCACGACTAACGGATCTGAGCCCTATAGACTTTATAATATAGATCGCTATGGTTACGAAGTGAATTCCACACAAGCATTATACGGATCAGTTCCTGTGTTATTTGGTCTGGGAGTTAATATGACCGCAGGAGTTTTCTGGTTAAATTCAGCTCAAACGTTTGTTGATATCACGCATAAGAAGACCGGAATTGATTCTTACTTTATAAGCGAAACTGGAGCTTTGGAAGCATTTATTTTAACGGGGCCATCTTTGAGAGATTGCGTAAAACAGTATATTAATTTAACAGGTGAGTTTGAATTTTAATAATAAAAATATGCTATCATTTGAATGAGGCTCTATCTTACACTTTGTAAATATAATACGTGTTGTCCAAATGCAAAATTTGCATGAAACTAAGCGTTAAAAATCGCATTAAGGTACATTAAAGTTGGGGCCTAAAGTGTTGAAACGCGAAATAGTTTAAAATAACTACTAACGAAAATTCAAAGAAAAGTTATTCCTTATAATGATACATAAAATATCAGATAACTTTTTGATATTTAGTTTCCGGTTTAACGGAAATTGTTCATTTTCGAAATAAAAGCCTATATTATTTTGGCTCAAAATTACTTTTACAACATTTCTATGCTGTTAAAATTATTGCACCAAGGTCAACATGCTTTAATTTGTTATTTGTTTTATATCTGTCTAAGGTCTAAGGTGACTGCATGGAAAATATCCAAATCACTTTATTTCATACAAAAATTTATTAGAAAAATTTTAAGAATTTTAATGAAAATTTTATATTTTATGGTTACTTATCTAAGAGTTGCTAAAATGAATCGATTGATACACATTTAAACCAAATAAACCAAACCATTTTATTGAATAAATAATAAATTTTGGTTAATTAAAATACACCCACACACAGAAATTAATCTAATTAAGTATATTTTTTTGTAAATGAAATATTAGGAGTCGCTCCTCTACCACAAATGTTTGCTTTGGGCCACCATCAGAGCCGTTACAGTTACATGAGCCAAAAAGAAGTTTTGGAAGTCTGCAATAAATTCGATGAGAACAAATTTCCACTTGATGTAATTTGGATGGATATTGACTATACAGATAAAAATAAATATTTCACTTGGGATCCCAAAACTTTCCCAAATCCTAGTTCTATGTTGAATGCTTTAAACAAGCAGGGTAGAAAAGCAGTAGTTATAATTGACCCACACATTAAAAGGGAAAAGGGATATTCTGTTTTTGACGAATGTGAATCTAAAGGTAAGCTATAATAAAAAAAGTTATACATTTCACTGATTACAAATATTTCACACACATTACTTGATTTTTGAAATATCTCACTTTTGCCAATTACCTACTTTTCAAGATTTCGAAAAACGTCAAAGATCAAAAAGTTTATCAGTCCATCTATATACAGGGTCTCCCAAAAGTGACGCCCGTCCTTTTGGGATTTGATTAAGGAGACAAAAACGATTTGAAAATCTAGAGTGGAAAATTTTCCGATTGTTTTTCTGTCAAAAAAATATTTAAAAAACTAAAAAAGTGAAAATCCAATTTTTTTGTTTCAAAACTGAGGTCTGCTTATATCAAGACAAATAATTTATAACCAATAGTAGGTAAGTATAGTTCCAGATTGCCGGTAGTATCTGGGTGTAAGTAACCTGAAAAGGATAGAGAAAAACACTTTGATAATAAAACAATTTTAATCTGGAGAGGAAAAAACAATAATGTGCTTAAATAATAGAAATTGTTTTTACAAAAGTTGTTCAAATAAGTTGCCTTCTACTTCAAGAATGGCGATTTCCATTGACACACTGCGTGCGCACCGAGTAGGTATATTTCAATCTTTTATTATCACTGTAGATAATACAGGATGGAAATACACTGAATGCGCACTCAGTGCATCAATGGAAATCGCTAAAATATTGGGACGATTCAACATCGAAGCATGAACCCTTTGTAGCATCTCTTGGTCTATAAACGCGACAGCAGCGTGTATACGAGCTTCTACATAAATCTTTTCTTTTAAATAACCCCAAAAGAAAAATATATGGGATTCAGATCTGGTAATCTATGAGGCCAGGCTATGGGCACCCCTTCCAATACAGCTGTCTAGGAAATTTTTATTCAAATAATTTCATACTCGTAAACCATAATGTGATGGAGCTCCATCATGCTGAAACCAATAATTTAGTCTAACTGCTAACGGAACGTCATCTAGCAATGGTAATGGAAAGTTTTCATTTAAAAACATACAGCAGCAGATACAGCTCTGAACTACATAATTATTTAATAACCCAGCTCAAATGTTTATTTTTAGTTTTTTGAATAACTCAACAAAGAAAAACAATAGGAAAATTTTTCAATCTTGATTTTCGATTTGTTTTTATCCCCTTAATCAATACCCAGAAGGCCGGGCGTCACTTTTGGGACACCCTGTATATTACATATATTTTCAGTATTCTAGAAATATTTTTTTTACATTTTTTTAAAATGATATATATTTTTAACTTTAACAGAATGCAGATGTCGATTGCATTTTTAAATTTTTACTGTTGTCATATCCTAAACGAGTTTCTGTAGTGATTCAGATATGTTTTTAGGAATTTCTAAAATGAGTAAAACTTTAGGCACTGGAAAAGTTTATCTATTTTCAACAACTTAGTTGTTCCAAAAACCAGTTGCATATATGAAAAAGAATTAAACAAGTACCTACAAAACATCCATTTCATATTTATGGTACAAGGGGAGAACCAATTTCTATCTTTTTGAGGAGTTTCTCGTATTCTCCAGAGACAAAAAAAAGGTAGTTAAGGTCATGGTTATAACGAACTTCAAAAGACCTGAGAAATATGTTCCTTACAGCCGAAGTTTAAAGAGCATATTTTAGTTTTTAAAAGTAAATTTAATCAAAGCAAAACTTTTTTGAAATTGGAATTTAAAATTTGCCCTATTAACTAATAAATGACATAAAATATAATACAGCTTCAGTTGGAAATTTAGTAAATATACTTATAAAATAATCAGTATGGTCAGAATAATTTTTTAATTCAACTTGTTTAAATAGCTATTACTATACGTTCAATATATTTCATTTAATCTTTAAAACTAAATTAACACATAATCCATGATTTTATTCTAACATATGATGTTTTATATGGTAATAAAGTTCAATATAGCAACATTTTTTATCAAATTTGATCAGTAATTGGTTCACTATATGTGATGGATCATAATTTACAAATTCACTATATTCCACATGGTATTTTCCACATGGACTTTAAGACAGGATTCTCAAATTTATTCATTATATAGGGTGTCCCGTGACTCGATGGCCATAGCTTAAGGTTGTATTTCTTGGACAATTTTAAGTCAAAAGTGCCTTATACGCTTTGTCCAATAGTTAAGGAGTTACGAGCAATATTAAATTTAACAGTAAATAAATCTGGGAGGCCATGTAATTGTTTTGTCATATTGTTATGGCGACATTGTTTATTCTTTGACGTAATTTTAAGATTAATTTGACATGGCTACGTTTTCAAATCAAGAATATGCCAATATTCACTTTACTTATGGATACTGTGACGGAAATGGGAATATCATTAGAGGTTTCCTGACCGAAGAATATGTAATAAGCAAGTGTTCATAAATATGCATCGTCAGTTGACAAAAACAGGCATGTTTCCTAAAGCTACTGCAGAACGTCCCGTGCGGCAAGAACTTGCTGAAGGAGAAGCTATTCTTAACATGAACGAAAATAGTCCCTCTACTAATATACGAATAATATCTAATCGTGTTCATGTTAGTCGAATGAAAGTGTGGAAAACATTACACAACTTTGGTTTCTACCCATATCACATACAATCTGTTCAACATTTACAATCAGCAGACTATGCAGCGTGTGTCGACTTTTGTCATTGGTTGATTGCACATCCACAGCTTTGTGGACAAATTATGTTTATGGATGAAGCCACGTTTAATAGAGATGAAATTACAAATATCAGAAATTCACATTCATGGACCCCTTACCCTTTAGAAATCGGGGAAATGCATTTTCAACATTGCTTTTCGGTGAATATTTGGTGTGGTGTTCTTAATAACCTTCTTATTGGGTCATTCGTATTTCAAAAACGTTTAACATCCGAGCATTATCAAATTTTTTTACAAAATGTGTTGCCAGGATTAAAGGAGAATGTTCCACTTCAGAATATAGTTAACATGTGGGTTCAGTGCTATGGCACACCACCGCATTTTGGTGTAAATGTGAGAGAATATTTAAGTAACAACTTTGCTAACCGGTGGATTCGAAGAGGAGGTCCAGTTCTCCGGCCTTCGAGGTCACCAGACCTAACGCCCCTTGATTATTATCTTTGGGGACACATAAAAAGTCTAGTGTATTCAAATAAACTACAAACCAAAGATGAGCTAATTCAAAATATTATGGCTGCAGCTGCATTCATACGAGATGATCCAGATACTCTTCAGAGAGCTTCGCCTTCAATTATTAAAATTTCTGTTAACAATAAAAAAATTCGTAATTAATAAAACATTACATTACTTTATTCCACATGCTCTTTACTTTACCAGATTTATTTATTGTTAAATTTAATATTGTCCATAACTCGTTAACTACTGAGTTTTGGACAAAGTGCACTTTTGACTTAAAATTGTCCAAGGATTATGACCATAAACCATCGAGTCACGGGACACCCTGTATAAACCGAAGATAAGCTGTACCTGAGAGTTACATATAATCGAAGTAGAATATGAATACTATATGAATACTTATAATAATAACAAATTTTCTTCATGACAGTTTGAAAATAACTCCATTATCTCAAAAAAATACAAAAGAACCCCGCCCAAAATCAATGGAAAATGGGTCCCAGTCGATTTTGCTGTAATTGCAGTATGTTATAGTTTTTGATTTTCTGATCAAAAGTTGTCATGGNCGTCAATATTATTAGTAATACCTAGATTTCTGGTATGGAAAAACATTGACTTCATTTAAATTTTCTAAAAAAAACATTTCTGAATTCGTTTAACTTGCTATCATACATATTTTTATTCGGTAAGTATCAGACAATTTAAGTGGAAAAAGTTTTACTTGTAATTTATCACCGCTTATTTACATAATGTACAATTCCAAGATATCACTAATGGTTTTTTTCAGGAATAGTAATTAGACATATCTAGTACTACCTCATTTCGTCGGAGATACTTACAAATGTTGTAATATTTAACTACACACACCAGCAGTGAGCAGTCGATATGTGCGATTATACAAATGATTATAAAAACCTCTGACATGTAAGCATAATGTAATCATTTACTGTTGTCCCTAGGTCTGGGCGAGGTCCGGAACATTTTCAAAATTGCAAGAATGTTTAAAATATTTTTAAAAATACCTATTTTATCCGAGATTTTTACTTATATCTTGGAACCTATACATTTTGGAAGAATATTGAAGAGGACAAAAGGTTTTAGAATTCAATTTTGCACAATACGTATACTGTAAGTTAAAAATGTTTAAATTTATTACCGATGTTGCAAAATAGCAATAATGTATGAAAAAAAAGGCAAAATAATCAAGTTTTTTGGATAATTTTCTTAAGATATTTTAATTGCTCCGAGGGCATTCTAATTTTAATAAATAAAAGCTTTAGAGTATAATAAAACAACACACCAAATTTCATTAAAATCGATGCGATAGTTTTTGCAAAATAATTTTTTTAAAAAATTTTTAAAAATTCTTTCGAATTTTCAAAATATTGCACAGCCTCAAATAAAGCATCTAGATATTTGAAAATTTTTTCACATAGAAAAGGCCGCTCAAACTTTCAAATGGTTTTTGAAAAATTGAAATCGGGTTATTAGGACGGCCATAGTAAATTCTTAAAGTTAATACTCTTTTTTTATTTTTAAACAATTAGAATACATTTATCAATTTGTAATTTAGTTTTTTTTTAAATTACATCTAATTTTAAAGTACTCGGAAAGTCGCTCCTTTAAAAAAAAAAAGTTACATTCCGTTTATTGGTTCTCGAGATATAAGCGATCAAAGTTTATCGGCGGTTTATTTAATTTATAAACAATTTAGCAATAACCTTTGATTCAGTAGCTTCGTTTTTCTGAGTTCTAAGGTAGAAAAAATTTTCATATCCATAAATTATCGGCAACTGATCGGTAAATCAGCGGAAAAGCTGTCGCTCGCACGCGCATACGAAAAGTGGAGGAGGGGGCTTTCGCTCCCAGACTGA